GTTGTCTCCTGGGCGGGAAGGCACCGGCGCGCTGTGGCTGACGACCACCTGTTCGGTTTGTGGCTCTCCCAGGGGACTATTGCAGCTGACGGCCGCGCGTTCCTGTGTGAACTCCTGACTCTCTATGCTGCGAGGAGGCTCGAGATATCCTCCATCATCCGCTCGGGGGGGCGTCGTGGACCTCCTTGATTCCCGAGCTGAAGGCTCGCCCCGACTGAGACTGTCAGCTAGGAGGGCGGATGGAGGACGGGAGTCAGCGGGATTAGAGGGATGACCGGGGAACTGATTGGCAGCCGTGCCGCCGTCGACGTCCATTTGTCAATTCAAATACTCCCGGGCTACAGGCTCGTCCACTCTTGCTGCTTCGCGCGGCGCTCCCTGGGCTGAAGGCCCGCCTTCTGCGTGCGCAATGCTGTCGTGCCCGGGGGAGGAGGCGGGCGGAAGGCGGGAGCCGTTTGGACGTCGGCTCCAGTCAGCTGGAGGGGTCGGTTGCGCGACCAGGACGGAGGCCTCCACAGTCCAACGATCGACCCCCTCGCAACTGAAGGCTGCTCCTCCCTGTCTCGACGCGTCCAGGGTGGTCGGCGGAGCGCGGGCGTGAGCCAATGGGATGTGGATCGGGGACGTGGGCGGACAGCGGTCGGTCCACCCACCCATCATCACCGCCGCCACCCCGCTGGGCAGCCTCAGGCGCAGGCCATCCACCCTCGTTGGACAAGCTCCTGAGCCGATCTTCGAGAATGCCGCCGCCACTCATAGCCACAGTCTCTGCGGCGCTCTCGGCATCCATGGGCATCGTCTCTGGTTCTCGAGCTGAAGGCTCGTCCCTTCTGTAACTGTCAGATACGCCTTGGGGACTCGAGCTGAAGGCTCGTCCCGCCTGTGACTCCCGAGCTGAAGGCTCGCCCCGTCTGTGACTGTCAGCTTGGGGGGCGGATGAAAGACGGGAGCCTTCGGGATTGCGCTTATGACCAGGGAGCTGATTGGCAGCCGTGCTGCCGTCAACGTCCGTCTGTCCATTTAAAAAATCCCGAGCTACAGGCTCGTCCACTCCTTCTGTCTCGCACGGCGCTCCCCGGGCTGAAGGCCCGTCTTTGCGGGGGGGGGGGGGGGCTGGTCTCCGACCGCGGGCGCTCCCTCAGCAGCGCCCCCGCCTGTCGCCGCGATGCTGTTGCCAGGGGGGGGGGGGGCATTGGGATATGAGGTGGTGGCCGACAGCCCTGGCGGCTGGCAATGCGATAGCTTGAGCTCGTGCCACGCGCTGATAGGAATGAGGAACTCTTGCTGCTTCGCGCGGCGCTCCCCGGGCTGAAGGCCCGCCTTCTGCATGTGCAATGCTGTCGTGCCCGGGGGAGGCGGCGGGCGGAAGGCGGGGGCCGTTGACGTCGGCTCAAGTCAGCTGGAGGGGTCGGTTGCGCGACCAGGACGGAGGCCTCCACAGACCAAGGATCGACCCCCTCGCAGCTGAAGGCTGCTCCTCTCTGTCTTGACGCGTCCAAGGGAGGGTGGTCGGCGGAGTGTGGGCGTGAGCCAATGGGATGTGGATCGGGGACGTGGGCGGACAGCGGTCGGTCCACCCGCCCATCATCACCGCCGCCACCCCACTGGGCAGCCTCAAGCACAGGCCGCCCACCCTCGGTGGACAAGCTCCTGAGCCGATCTTCGAGAATGCCGCCGCCACTCATGGCCACAGTCTCTGCGGCGCTCTCGGCATCCATGGGCATCGTCTCTGGCTCTCGAGCTGGAGGCTCGTCCCTTCTGTAGCTGTCAGATACGCCTTGGAGACTCGAGCTGAAGGCTCGTCCCGCCTGTGACTCCCGAGCTGAAGGCTCGCCCCGTCTGCGACTGTCAGCTTGGGGGGCGGATGAAAGACGGGAGTCGTCGGGATTACAGGGATGGCCAGGGAGCTGATTGGCGGCCGTGCCGCCTTCAACGTCCGTCTGTCCATTTAAAGAATCCCGAGCTACAGGCTCGTTCACTCCTGCTGTCTCGCACGGCGCCCCCTGGGCTGAAGGCCCGTCTTTGTCGGGGGGAGGCTGGTCCACGACCGCGGGCGCCCCCTCAGCAGCCCTCCCACCTGTCGCCGCGATGCTGTTGCCAGGGGGGGGGCAATGGGATATGAGGTGGTGGCCGACAGCCCCGGCGACTGGCAATGTGATAGCTTGAGCTCGTGCCACACGCTGATAGGAATGAGGAGCTGTAGGAACGCCTGTCTGGTCTACGTCGTCGACGTCGGCGTCGTGATCGCGTTCGTGTTCGTGGTCGTGGACGTCGCCGTCGTCGTAAATCCGTCGACCCAGTCGGAATTTGTAGGACGTTGTTCCGTTTCAGTCGTAGTCTGGGACCGTCTTGGGGGGCATGCTGGGGCCGTCTCGAAACCATCTTCGGCGCCTCAAAACGGCTTTGGACCGTCTTGGAAACGTTTGGACCCTACCGGAGGCCTCTTGAAACTGTCTTGGAGCGCAAGCATTTTCCGCGCGCCTCGGTCCCGTACCCGAGCGGGGACTGTAGGGATACGCCCGCCATGAAGGGGGCGCTGCGACCCATTGGAGCGTTCAAAATGGCCCAACATTATTGCAAGATGGCTTCAGAGAGCTCAAAAGGGGTCAGAGACGACATAAGTTCATCGGAGGTGGCCAAGGATGGCTTGAATTGCGCTGATAAGTGATAACGTCAGTCCGAAAGGCAACCACAACGCTTCACATGTGCGCGTGTACACTACGTAGCAGAAGGCGGAAAGTCAAAAGAAGCATCACTCGACCGTGTAGTCAGGTCACCCAGACATTGCGAGGGCAAATGATGCCCCAGAGAAACCCTGGCCTTCCATCTTAGCCTGGAGAGTCAACTGCTTGGCGCATGCCTCGGAGGGACGACTAGCGTCTGCATGGTCGTCCTCCCCCAGGAGACCTCCGACAGCAAACCCTGTTCGCCCTAAGTGCTTCACGTACAGATTCAAATATTTGATACCACTGTCCGTACGTCCGTGAACGACTTTTAGCTCAACCTTACCAAGGGCAACCCATTGCGGAGTCTTCACTTCATATTGCGATGCGGTGTCATGATACCCTCCAGGATGCGCTGCATCTGCCCAAGACCCAGTAACGCTCACGTTTTGGAAATACATATCCGCCCAATGACTTCCCAATCGAGATGCAAAGGCCGAGACGTGAAGCAAAGCGTTTGCAACGCTCATTCCGCGTGGGATATTGATCCGAATGTGTTTGCCCGCCTGCATCAAGTCGAACCGATCACCATGAATGTTTTGCAGATGGGGATCACCAACGGCAGCAGCCCCGTCTGGTGGCGTCGGGCTGGGCGTCGGGACAGCAGTCGGTGCCAACCACACGAAGTTGTTGTCGATCCCCGTGCCCGTGACCCAGTCGATGCGCTGACCGGCGCTGAGGAGAGCCTCCCTCTGCCCAGAGGTCATGGTTCAGCTCGTACATGATGGCCGCGAGCCCAGAAACGTGCGGACAGGCCATGGACGTGCCCGACATCACGTACGTGGCGGTGTCGCTGCTTACGCCCGTCGATTTGATGCTCGAGCCCGGAGCCCAGACATCAACTTTAGAGCCGTAGTTGCTGAAACTGGACCTGGCCCCTCCCGACGCATAAGATCCCACCGTGATCGCCGAATCGATCCAACCAGGATTGTAGCCAGACGCATCACTGTTCTGGTTCCCTGCAGCCACCACCACGGTCACTCCGGCGGCCACCAGCGCGTTGATTGAGGTCTCCTCGGCGACCCAGTTGCCAGGGCCCGACAGACTCATGCTGACCACGGCGGGCTTCGGGCCAGTCGACAAAACCCATTGCTCGGCTGCTATGGACCAGGAGATGTAGCCGTCGCCGTTGTCATCGAGGACCTTCATTGCCCAGAGCTTCGCGCCATCTGCGACGCCATACGTGCTGGCCCCCACCGTGCCCGCGCAGTGCGTGCCGTGCCCGTGGCCGTCTGCGGCGCACGTGGTGCTGCCGCTCGGGCACACTGCGAGGACGCCCGTGGCGGCCACGTCTACTCCAGCGAAGGCCCGACCCCCGAACTCGACGTGGGTTGTGCGAATGCCAGTGTCCAGCACATACACGTTCACCCCCACGCCCCGTCCGCGGACCACGTCCGCATTGATGTCTTGGATGCCCCATGGGTATGTCGAGGCTACAGAGACTCCTGTGGATGCCTCATCGATACCGTCTGGAATTCTTGATTCGAAGAAGTCCTCTTCGACTGCCTCCACAAGCCCTGGGTAGAGCGCGTGGACCTTCTCCACCACCGTCGCGAGTTCCACTTCAGTCAAGTGCCCCTCTACAAATGGCACCTCACCAATGTCCGGATTGGTCGTCATTGCCGTCGGATGGAGCTCCTGAACAACGCTTTGCAGCATATCGCCCGTAGCACCTTCCTTCATCATGAACATCCACGTCGACGTCTTATTTTCAGTGGCCTCAGGTCCACCATCGACCGCACGGCGGTCATTCGGCGCACGGCGGTATATACGCACGGCGGCATGTGTGAAGAACTCCCTCCCAAAATCATCCTTCGACGCTGTCGGAGTCGACCGCATCTGCATCAGCTCGAGGTCGCCTGTAGTTGCCAAGCCAGCAGCATAGCGGGTCCCAGCAAGGCTGACGATCAGGAGAGCACGGGCCATCTGCATCGTGGAGAAGACAAAAGCCGAGTGTAAGATAAAATGTGTGCTTGTGTGCGCACGACTTGAGCAAAAGGCTGGAGCCTGTGGCTACGGATGGTAAAGTTACGCGAAGCGTCCAGAGTTTCCTGAGCCTCACCGCCGCCTTCTGAAGAGACCTGCTCCCTCCCACCTCCCCCCTGGCCTCGCCGCCGGCAGGGGGGAGGAGGAGGAGGAGGAGGAGGAGGAGGAGGAGGAGGAGGAGGGAGGAGGAGGAGAGCAGGAGCAGGAGGAGGAGGAGGAGGAGGAGGAGGAGGAGGAGGAGGAGGAGGAGGAGGAGGGAGGAGGGAGGGGGAGGAGGAGGAGGATGAGGAGGAGGAGGAGGAGGAGGAGGAGGAGGTGGAGGCGCAGCTCGCCGAGCACCGCCAGGGCCTGCCCTCGCCGCCCGCGGCACCTCACGCGCGCTGGCCCCTGCGCCGCAGCCGACGGCGTCGCGGCCCCAGCGCCGCGGGTAGGAGACCACATGCGAACCCTACCCCTACCCCCCACGATTTCTGAGGGGCAGGGTGGGGTTCACTTCGTGCGGGAGCTCTCGAGCGAAGTGAACCCCACCCTTCCCCTCAGAAATCGTGGGGGGTAGGGGTAGGGTTCGCATGTGGCCCCCTAGCGGGTCCCGCGGCTCGCCGCGCAGCGATGGCGCCCATTCCCGCCGGCCGCCCCTCGTGCTCGCCGTGATTCCGGCAGTGCAGCTGATCACGCTCGCCCGCATCTCAAACGACGCGAAGATCGGGACAAAATCATATCGGGATAAATCGAAATCTCTGCGAATCGGCGGGTTAGAAGGATGTATTGGGCGCCGCGGCCGCTCCAGAGCGTTCTGGAACGCTCTGAGAGCGCTCCGGAACGCTCTGGAGCGACTTATCCCGATCCTAGCCCTGTTTTAGCATCTTTGGGCGCCCGAGTTATCCGGGGTAACTCGGGTCCGGGGTAACTCGGGTTTGGATTCCCGAAAAAGGAACCCGAGTTACCCCTGACCCGAGTTACCCCTGATGATTCGGGGCTCTGGACGCCCGAGTTATCCGGGGTAACTCGGGTCCGGGATAACTCGGGTTCGGACTCCCGAACAACGAACCCGAGTTAGCCCTGACCCGAGTTACCCCTGATGATTCGGGGCTCTGACATCTCCTCTCCCAACAGATCGCTGAGCAACAGCAGCGCCCGCCGCCACCGGCCTCCCCGCTCGCAGGGCGCTGCTTCCGGCACTGCGGCCGACCGTGGCTCGCCCCAGCTCTGCCTCCGAGATTGATGACGGAGCAGCGACACGGCCTGCTGCCACTGAAGCCTTGCTCGCACGCCCTGGCTGCAGCATTGAAGCTGATCGCATCTGTTTCCAGTGCCGCTTCCAAAAGCTCCCTGAGCAACAACAGCGCGTGCTGCCACCGCCCACCCTCTTGCACGCGCTGAGGCCTGCACTGTAGCTAATCTCGCTTGGGCACGCCACGAGCAGAGAAAGAAGGCCCTCATATCTCGCGGCTCCACGATGGATCGGGCTGGCCGTAGAAGTACGTCAGCTCCTCGCCGCGCTTGATCGAGCGGAGGCTGACCCAATAGACGCCAGAGCCCTGGGCGCACATCTTGGTGTTGGGCCTCCAGGAGTGATTCGCCACCGCGCTCCCCGGCGCGCTGAGGCGTGCTAGAATGCGAAACGCCGCGCGGCAGGTGTGGTGCATTTCACTCAGGGACTCCCCTCCTGTCGGCCCGCATCTCCCCGCATGCACCGCCCCCCTCCAGAGGCCACGCTCCTAGGGCCACGATCCCCGATAGAAAAACGGTGCGTCCGCGTCCCGAGCTTCCAAGACCGTCCAGGCTGGCAACCAACGACACGAAGATGGCTCAAGATGCCTCGAAGACGGCCCAAGATGGCCCCAAGGCGGCCCGATATGGTTTCAAGACGGCTCAACATGCTCTCAAGGGAGCCCCAAAGGCCCACACGCTGACCTCCAACAAGGTCCGAATAAGCAAGAACCACGATTACCCCGTGGGTTTTTGAAAGAATTCAGCAATCTCAGCTTTTCGGGCTTCTGTCAGCTCAAGACGGCCTAAGAAGCATCCACGCTAGCCCCACGACGGCACAGGAGGCCTCCAAAAGGGCCCCAAGATGGCCCAAGAGGTCCCACCATGGCCCACGAGGCATCCAAGACGGCCCAAGAGGGCCTCCCGTGGGACCCAAGAGGGCCTTGCAAGACATTTTCGACGGCCCAAGACGGCCCCCAGACACTCGCTATACGGCCAAAAGAGGGCCCCAAGACTGTCCAAGAGAGCAGCAAGACGGCGAAAGAGGGCCTCAAGACGGCCTAAGAGGGACCCAAGAGCTCCCCAAGACTGCCTCACAAGAGGCCAAGATAGGCCCAAAACGGCCCAAACGAGTTCCGTGAGATCTCCTCACATAGTGAAGAAGAAAGGTGACACGTGTGACTGCATTCCACTTCCTCCTCCTGCTTCTGCTGCTGATCCTTCTCGTCATCATCATCGTCACCGTCATCATCACCACCACCCCATCACCATCACCATTACCACCAGCACCATCATCATCAGTATCACCAACACCATCACCATAATCACCATCACCATCGTGACTATCACCATCATCACCACCAGCATGATCACTATCACCATCGTCACTACCACCATCATCACCATCCCGACCACCACCACCACCACCACCACCCTCCTCCTCCTTTCCAATATCATCATCACCATCACCATCACCATCACCACCACTACCACCACCATCACAACCACAACCACCATTATCACCCTCATCATCCTCATCATATTTATAATCCTCATCACCATCCTCATCGTCATCATCATCCTCCTCCGCATCATCATCATCGCCATCATCATCATCATTAGCATCATCATCAGCATTCTCAGCATCAACATCAACCACAACAATAAGATCATCAGCATCATCACCACTACGATCATCATCTGCATAATCATCATCATGTTTAGCATCATCACCAGCATCAACACCATCATCATCAACATCATCATGGTCATCACCAGCATCTTCATCTCCATCATCATCACCATCATCCTCATCATGATCATCGTCGTCGTCATTATCATCATCGTCATAATCACAACCATCATCATCATCATCATCATCATCATTATCATCATCATTATCATCACTACCATCATCCTCATCCTAGTCATCCTCCTCATCATCAGCAGCATCACCGTCGTCATCTCATCATCATCATCACCACCACCATCATCATCATCATCATCATCATTGCCATCACCACCACCACCATCATCACCACCACCATCATAATCAGCATCAGCATCAGCATCATCATCAGCATCATCATCATCAGCATCATCATCATCATCAGCATCATCATCATCAGCATCATCATCATCAGCATCACCATCACGGCTCCACCAACCCTGGAGGCACGCAGCGCCACGCGCGGCGGCCCGAACAGCCGCCCCCCCAACATGCTGGGCCGGCCACGGCGGCGAGACTACCCGGCCGCAGGCCACCCGGCTTGAGCCGGTACCACGGCGGCCGGCCCGTCAGCAGCCGCAGGTCCAGCCGGTAGCCCGGCCGCGTGTGCGTGACCTGGAAGGGGCCCCAGGGCACACAAACTCAGAGCCCCGAATCATCAGGGGTAACTCGGGTCAGGGATAACTCGGGTTCGTTTCTCGGGAATCCAAACCCGAGTTAACCGCCGCCCAGTTAAATAAAAATACACCGCCGGATAAACTCTGACCTCGGGCGTCCAGAGCCCCACTCAACAAAAACAAAGAATAAAAAAAAAAAAAAAAAAAAAAAAAAAAAAAAAAAAAAAAAAAAAAAAAAAAAAAAAAAAAAAAACAACATAAAAAAAACAAAAAAAAAAAACAAAAAAAAAAAAAAATAAAAAAAAAAAAAAAATCAACAAAAAACAAAAAAACCACCAAAAAAAAAAAACAAAAAATGGGGAAAACTCGGGACCTCTGTCAAATCCGGGTAACCATTCCCGGGGAATCCAAACCGAGTTACCCCGGCTGACCCGAGTTACCACACCAAACCCCTCCCCACACCACCCCCGGAAAATTCGGTGCGCCCAACAAATAAAACAAATACACAGAAAAAAAGAAGCCTATCCGAAAACAGATGTTCCCATGTTTTTTAGGGGGTTTGGTCTTCTTCCCCCCCTTCCCATATTTTCCCATACTCTCTGGGGGATCGACGATTCATTGTGTCTGTGTGTGTGTGTCTGTGTGTGTGTGTCTGCCTGTGTCTCTGTGTCTCTGTGTCTCTGTGTCTGTGTCTGTGTCTGTGTGTGTTTTTTCTCCCTCCTGAGACCTGTGGGAAGCCATCCGGCGGCAGGCCCCACCTCGCGGGGCCCAAGAAATGTGCACCCCGCCACCGCTCCCCTCCGCCGGGAGGACACGGACCGTGGCAGAAACACATAGAGACTCGGAGGTCCGCACCCCAGACATGATGGCGTCGTAAAAAAATCAGGACGGGAGGTTTTTCGCTATTTTCGGCCTCGGGGGGTCCTCGCCGGGCCTCGGGACCGTCAAAAACGAGTCATGACGAAAAACCGGCCCTGGGGAAAGGGTCTGGCTTCCAGGGACGCCGTCCTGAAAAAATCAGGACGTCGCATGTCTGGGACGGATTCCTCGGATCCACACCACCACCACTCCCCTCACCGGGGCAACGGTCAATGGCACAAGCACACATAAAGACTCGGAGGTCCGCACGGATTCCTCGGATCGGCGCTGGGGCCCCCCGGCGCCGCCCCTGGCGCGCTCCGCGCGCCAGGGAAGTGGGGTCGAGCGCTGATCCGAGACATCCGCGCGGACCTCCGAGGTTTGATGTTCATGTCGTTGTTCGCTCCCCTACTCACCCCCTCCCCCTCCCAGGATAGGAGGAGTGGAAGAGGAGGGTCGGAGGAGGGAGGAGGAGTCGACGTGGCGGCGGCAGGTATTCTCGGGGCCCGTACACCTCGCGATGAGCTGCTCCACCTCAGAGGAATAACAAAACGCCATAGACATAAACTTTTGGCGCTCCGCGCGGATCTCTTTGGGTCCGCGCAGGACCCCCCCCCCGGCGCCTGGCGCGCGGATCCAAGAAATCCTCGCGGAGCGCCAAGAAAATTTACTTGTGTGCCGCTGTTCCTTCTTCGGCACCTGCGCCCGGCTGATGCGCATGGCCGGGTGCTGCTGGAAGTGCCCCTGGCCCGAGGTGCCCCCAGCTCTTCGCTCCTTTGTGGAGCCCCTGGGGCCTCGTGATGGGTGCTCTGGAGGTCGTGGGGGCCTCCTTGGAAACCTTGGGGGGCACCTTGGGCCAGGGGCACTTCTGGCAACACCCGACATGGGCCGCTCCATCTCCAGGACCACGACGCCGGCGTCCATGATGGGCCTGTTTTCCACCACCACCACCACCACAAGTTGGAGTGGGAGGGAGTCCTCCTCCACCTCCTCCTCCTCCTCCTCCACCTCCTCTCCTCCACCCTCTCCTCCTCTACCGTCCTCCCCCTCCCCTCCTCCCCCTCCTCCTCCTCCCTCCCCCTCCTCCCCCATCCTCCCCCTCCTCGCCCCTCATCCCCCTCCTCCTCCTCCCCTCCCTCCTCCTCCTCCTCCCCCTCTCCTCCCACCTCCTCCCCCACCCACCCCCCCTCCCCCTCCTCCACCTCACCCCTCCACCTCCTCCTCCTCCTCCTCCTCCTCCTCCTCCTCCTCCTCCTCCTCCTCCCCCCCTCCAACTTCTGGTGGTGGTGGTGGAAAACAAGCCCACCAGGCCAGGCTTCGCGTGGCGAAGCCCCCGAGCTGCCCGGGGCCCAGGCGCGGGGAGGGCGCGACCCTCACCGGCCAGCGATCGCGGCGCTCCTCGCGCGGCCGCAGAAAGCGCATGCCCGCTCCGGCGCGGGGGGGCGTCCGAGGGGGGGCGGGCGTCCGAGAGGGGCGGGGCGCGCCAGTCCCGGCCGGCGGCCGGCGCCTGTTTTTGTCTGTCCTGGGCTGTTCGTCGAGATCGCAGCCGACTCGAGCCTCGCCGTGGTGACGCCAGAGAGCATCGGAGAGTGTTTTGGCCGGTTCCTGTCAGCGCGGACCCCGGGCACGTGCCCCCCGATCGCCTCTTCGGATCAGGGCTGGACCTAAAGGGTGTTTCTCGTTTTCGTTTTGGTTTCGTGTTGGCGTCGCCTTCGCTGCAGAAGGGCATCGGAACGAAAACGGCCCACGAAGTCGCCAAAACACCGCTTGGGTCCACCCCTGATGTGCGCAGCCCAGGGAGGGGGGGCTGGGGACGCGTTGACATGAGACGATGCATCGGGAAATCTCTGGGTAGGTGGCATGGCCCCCGCCACGATGTCCACGCCAACCCTAGGCATCATTATGTTGCATCCTCGGGGGACCTTGTCTGTCCCGTCGCGGCCCTGTCCGCGTCGAGTTCGTGTCGAATCCATGTCGGACGCGTCGGATCCGTGTCGAATCCGTGTCGAATCCGCGTCGAATCCACGCCGAATCCGCGTCGAGTCCGCATCGAGCCCGCGCCGGGCCCCCAAAAAGACACCCATTTTGGGGACAGGCGAGGTCCCCCGAAGATGCAACAGAAGCATCCCCCCCCCCCCCGGGGCCGCCCCCGACCAGCCCAGGGTTGGGTTCACTTCGCTCGGGAGCTCCCGAGCGAAGCGAACCCCACCCTCCCTCTCGGAAATCGTGGGGGGTAGGGGTAGGGTTCACATGTGGCCCCGTAACTCCAGGCATCACACACCCCCTTGGCCGCCCCCGACCAGCTATAAGCAGACACAAAATATGCCGAGGGGCCCCGATGCTCGCCGGAAATCTCTCTCTCAGGGAGCGCTCCGACCGGGAGGGA